GACTTACCCAAAGCCTGACTATTCCTATAGAAACCTATTCATAAGCTCTGTTTTCCACTTAAAAACTTTTGACTTTGGGTAGTATTATTAAAACTTAAGAGATCCATAAATTGCATCAAAAAGAGAAACTCAAGGAAAGATCAAAGAAAAAAATTGTAAAGAATAATATCAGCATCAGTACCACGGAGAAAAACTCTAGTGCACTATTTGAGCCATGTATTCATCCAATTAGCTGAAAGTAGGAGAAGATTCGTATTGGAAGGGTAGAGAAAGCCAATACCATTTTGAGAGAAATTACTCCTCATTTCTAACCCCTCAAAATTAGATGAAGAAAGCAAAAAAAACATGGTACCTTTGTTTCTATTAGCCTTTTTAATTACTTTCCTCATTTTTAATATGTTCATTTCATGTTATTTTTTAAAAGATAATTTGTATGTGGTTTCAAACATTTTTTTTTAATCTTGAATTGGCATTGTGAATTTTTTGTTATTAAGATATAGAGTAGTTTGGAGGTGAAGGCATTCTCAGAGAGAGGTTTTAAATTTCGGGTGCTTCCAAGTTACCTTAAATATGCATATCGGAAAGCAATTTTTTAAACTATCATTGACCTAGATGGTCGGACAATTCGGCCTGGAAACTGTTCAAGCAACCGATTCCGTTTCACCCCTAACTCATTTTTGGGTTAAAAATCATTGACTTTGTCAGAAAACCGTTGACCCGGGCGATCGAACCGTCGATTCGTGTGACACAGACAAGTTCATAGTATAAAGATGCAAGAGAGAAACACACGAATTCAGCTCAGATCTGAGTTCGTGTCTGAGATCTATGGAAGAAGAAGAAGAAGAAGAAGAGAATCTTGGATTCGAGATCTGAGAACTCAGATCTGTGTCTGTTGCTACCGCTTCACCGTCGCCATCGCCATTATTATCACCGGTGACGTCGAACCATCCTCCCCCTCTTCATTCTTCTTCCCTCCTTCCTTTCCTTTCTTTTCTTTTCTTTTTTTTTCCTTTTTCCCCCTCTTCTTTCTTTCTTTTCTTCTTCTTTTTTTTCTTTCTCAACTGACATCTCTTCTCCACTCCAGTTCTCCTTAGTCCTTTCTCAAATCTCATATAAAATATTTGCCCTAACCCTAATATACAAACCATCCGAACCATTCAACCTAGACGGTCGAATCGCTGACCCGGAAACCGGTACCTAGAATGGTTCCGTTTCCGAGTCGGTTTTTAAAACCTTGTCGAAAAGAGAGTGATCACTAGGTTGGGCAGCTGGACTTAGGACCATGTTTAAGGTGATGTTTGGAACCGATGTCGTTTCTCCGGTGCATTACATTGGTATGTCGTTTTCTCCAAAAACGTTTTTTTTTTTACCATTGCTGCCACATAGGCATTTTTCAATGCCACATGAGCATGCTGTTGTTAGCAACAATATAAAACGGGAAAACATCTAAAAGGACGTTGTCTCAGACCATCACACCTTTCTCGATTTTCAAGACATGTTCTGAGAAATGTGTTTTTTTTGTTTTTTGAGAAAATTCCCAACTAAATAGTGAATGTTTCTTCAAAAAACAAATTTCAGACATAACGCTGATGTGACATCGTTTTTTTGGAAAAACAGTTCCAAACAAAGCCGGAGTCTTAAACCTAGGCTTAGGCACGTTTCAGCCTTCACCCTGGGCTTGAAACATATGCATTTGGGCTGGCCGTAGACCCAAAACTTAGGCCCAAGCTTGAATATGTTGGTTGGGTTAGTTTGGTAACTCCTAGCAGAAAAACATCCCATCTTTGTATTTGAAGGCTTGCCATTAACTTGCCACTTATTCCATATTCAGAAGATCAGACCCAGTCTCAAATCTACAAGTTCACATCTCCACCCCACAAAGGGCTGCCCCACAACGTCCCACAGCACATTTCCGCCATGTATTGAAAATATCTCCCGATGATAATATCAGAACTGATGATTTCATGATCTGGAGATGTTCAGTGGAACATGGTGGGGCGGAGATGTGTACTCCAAATATAAATTGTATAGCACAAGCCTGAAATCTGGAGTAAGGTTCGATCTATACATAAGTCTGAAAAATAGTTATATAGCAATTACATATCATGTCCAAAAGTTAGTTGTCAAAAAACATTTTGAAGTTGGAAATTTATCTACATTTTATCTGGGTTCTCTCTCGTGGTCCTATAACCATTAGACTATATGACAATTGGCAAGTTAGAAGACTTTAGACCACAAGTTAGCAGATACGTGAGTATTGACTTGTTGGTTTTTGTCCCACATCGGCCAAGTGAGAAAAAAGCAAGGAAGACAAAGGCATGTAAATAGGGATAAAGAAGAGAGCAAAAACATACTTACCTGGACGGGGTCAATGGGCGATCAACAAGGCTCATGGCCTAGGTTGGCGACCTCCATTGCACAAGGGAGGGGTGCCCGCCTAACATCTCCCCAAGTGGGAGAGTGTACGTCATAATTTGTGGTAGAGGGGGTACGCGTTCGCGCGGCCCCTGCCCAAAATCTTTATCTTCAAATTTTACTGAACAATTAGAGTGCGACGTTCTTTTCATCTTTGAATTTTATCTAATTTTTCTATTTACAGATGTGAATGGTATGGTCTGCACGATAAGAAGTACCCAGAAGCCATGGATGAGAGAAGTTCTTGCATATTCGTTGTTCAAATTCGTCATGTCCAACGAGATTTCAAGACCGGACCGGACCGGATGGTAAATTCGCCATTTTTTAAAAACCGTTGATTTTGGTCAGCAAACCACTGAACTGGCCAATTAACCGTTTAAATCATTAGAACGATTTTAAACATTTTCCAATTTTTTAATTTTGTCAGAATGGACCGGCTGTTCGAATTGAACGGTCAGACCGTTCGAAGCGATAACCAGACCCTTGACCGGCTTGATCACCAGTTCGTTTTTAAAAACTATGGTCTGAAATCCGGGAGAGATCTTGTTTGAAGGTTTAGAGCTTCTGAATCTTGTTTGGAGCATTTTGGGGAATGTGCAAGCTATGCCGATGCGCTTGAGTGTGTTTGTTGACTTCGAACGATCAACTTTGATTTCGAGGCTCCGGTGGTCGTTTTCACCATCGTGACTCTATATTGCTAATGTAATTTAGCTCACGGTTGATTACAAGAGGGTAAAAAAGAGAGATCTCCTAAATATTCTCCTCGAAAGATCCCTAAATTTTAATGTTATTTTTTTTTATATTGGGAAATTGTCTAAAAATTTACCGTGACTTTTCATCATTTCTCTTAAATTTATCATAACTTTTTCAAATGTCTAAAATTCACCATGTTAGTAAGTTTTTATTTTCCAAAATTCACCTTCCATTAAAGCACCGTTAATATTCATTAACAGAACTTGTCCATGTCAGCATAAATACAACTCACATGACTAAATTGCCCTTGATTGGCAAACTATAGAAAAAAAAGGTTCATTTAGGCACACTCTCTCTCTCTCTCCAAATCTACAAGGTAGACGTCGCATCACCATCTCTCGCTCAGATCTATAATAGATGGGCGTCGCACCGCCCTCTTTTTGCTCAGGTCTCCGAGATGCCACACCACCCTCCCTTGCTCAGATCTATAGTAGGTGAGCGTCGCACCGCCCTCTCTTCACTTAGATCTACAGTAGGTGGGCGTTGCACTGCCCTCTCTTCATTCAAATCTATAGTAGGTGGGCACCACTACGTGGGCACCACACCACCACCACCGTCTCTCAAATCTACTATTTGAATGCCACCTCCGCACCACCACTCATATTTTTGGTTTTGAAGATGTAGAGGAACGAATACAATGATAAAGAAATTTCAGAGATTTCTAGTGTTTTGAAATATTTGTAATGTATTGTAATTTTTTGCAACTTGAATCTAGAATTTAAATCTCCATCAAGGGCTTCATAAATGTGTACAAAAATATTTTCATAAATTTTTATCTGTTTGTCTTAAATATTTTTTGAAAATTTATTACAATATTCCTTGGGTGCCATGTTAATTTTGTTTGATTCTGCCGAAATTTTTTATCATTTTATTAGTTTGTCTGCAATTTTTTTTCTAAAATTTATATATATATTGAAAAAAACGAGCATTTCTTTTCTTTTTTTGAAATTTCTGCTTTTTAGTTGATATATATATTAAATTTTATCACTTTATGTATTTTTTTTAAAAAAATCACTTTCTTGTTTTCTACAATTTATTACTTTTTTATATAGTTTTTATCATTTTATGTATATTTGCAATTTCTGTTTTTATCTGATCTTTATATTTTTTGAGTTTTTATGTCTTTCAATTTTCAATTTTCTTTTTTTTTGCATATTTAGTGTTTTGTTATAATTTACAATGTTTTTTATAATTTCTATTTTTTTATTTTTCTATTTTCTACAATCTATAAATTTTCTTGTATTTTTTGTTATTTATTTGCAGTTTCTATGTTTTTCCATAATTTTTGGTGTTTGTTCTACAATTTTTATTTTCTGATTTTGTTTTTCAATTTCTATAATTTAAAAATATATTTTTTCCTCTATTTTCATGTCTTTTTAGTTAAAATATTAAAATATATATGTATATTTTTTATTTTTTATAAAGGGTAAAATGGTAATATATTAACAACCGTTAGTCTGTTTAACGTCAAGTTAGTGATATGATGAGTTTTAGACATTTTGAAAAATTATGATGAATTTAAGAGAAATGCTGAAAAGTCATGGTGAGTTTTAGAATTTAGACAATTTCCCTTTCATATTTTGTACAGAAGAAACCATAGAAAGTATAAACATCAGCTCATCAGTTTCCATTACATAGAAGTGAGTACCAAAATGAAGGACCCGGTTGGACTTGGATTGGGATGCAAAGCAGGTTCAAACGGATCTGCACAGTTTTTTGGGTACGACAACTGGTCCAGTTTTTAAAACAACATTGTTTGAAACTCTCGACTTGCCACCAGATATTCTTGGTAAAAACCGGCATACGTTCGATATAAGAGGGAAGCAAAAAAATGAGAGCCTCAGCAACTAATGCTGCATAACCACAACTTGAATTCTTGAAAAAAAGATTGTATAACACTACATCTAACTACTCTCTCTCTCTCTCTCTCTCTCTCTCCACTAAACAGAAGCTGAATAATAAATTTCCGTGGCTCAAGTTCCTCCAAGGCAACAGCAAAATAACATGACATTTTATATATTTATCTGCATTAATCAACCATAGTAACAAGACATTTATAGATATCTGGATTAATCAATCACTTCTTCATCTGAATCATCATCAGCAAAGACTGCTACATTCCCAAGCAACGTGTTCAAAATCATTTGCTCCCAACCCCTCATACCTCTCTGCATCAATCTTGCTCTGACTGTTCTCAGGTGAGCAGGAGTACTGGGTTCACATTCAGAGGATCTTGCTGGAGACATGCAATATTTTGCCTCAGGGTAATACTTCAAGATGCATTTTCCAGAGAGGTCAAGGATATCAACATCAAATGCAGGAGACAGTGGGCGGCCAACAACTTGAACATGGGCGACACTGTAGTCCATCAACAGTCCAAACAAAAAAGGTTAACAAGAATGGCCCATTATCTTCCCATAGCCAAGTACTTTAATCAATTCAGAAAATTGGGGTCCGAACCTCTTAACTGTCCTTGACATATTCATATGGTCATTTGATATATAAACAGTCATGCCATGTACAATTTGACCGCAATAAAAATGTCACTATTTTTTTTTGTTTTGGTATTGAAGTTAAAACTGTCATTTGACATGCCCAAAACCCTGATCTTCCAATTGATCATATATTCCAACCAAACCACATACTTCCACTATGAAAGTAAGATATACATCAAATTTTAAGGTAACAATTAAGTTTGATGAAATATCATGCCCTTTCTAACAACAAAAAGGATCTAGAGCCTTGTATTTCTAATTAGGAATCTAAGCTTTCCATTCAAAGTGGAAAAATCTAAGTTACTGCAAGAAAACTGATAGTCCTTTTTTTGCATGACATTAAAAGAATACTAATCTAACCTAGCATTAGAATTTTGAAACATAGCCTTTGCTAGCATGAAATGATTATGTGTATTTTGACCCCCCCCCCCCCAAAAGTAATTTAAATCCAACCATAACCTCTCTTAATATGGCATAGGTCATTATCGATAACAAATGAAAGACAAGGATAGAGTCCAAGGGCTTACCATATGTAGAATAATCCATCCATTTCTTGTCTTTGAACCCTGCCCATTAGCTCAATCTGCAGAATTCCTCCAATACAGAGGACAGGCTCTGGTAGCTTGAACTTTTGCAAGCGGTTTTCCTGTTTAACGGACAAGTTCCCTATGCAATTAAACTTGATATAGATGAAGTGATGAACCTAGACTAAGAAGTTGAATCTCACGATTTGTTCAATAAGAATGTCCTCATTGGAACAATATTCTAAAATATAAAACCAAATGAAGCACCAATTATTGCCATGTAGTGGGTGCAAATTACTTGGATTTATTGGACCATCCAATTCAGCTTCAACAAACCTCAAAGAAAGAAGTACAAAAAAGAAGGAAAATGAAGTGTATTAATTCAGGTCTCTTTGGCAATACTTCCACATAAAAGGGTGCAAATAGGATACCTGATTTGAAGAATTTCCACTGGTCTGGGCCACTTCAAAATTTAAGAAATGCTCAACCAGACCACACCCAGTTGCACCCCTACTTTCACATGCAGAAACCTTTTCCCCTTCTTTAAAGGAAACCTTAGTAGTTCTTTTGCTTTCAATTCAAGATTGCTGACTAAGAAATTAAGTTACAACTTTACCTGAGCCATTGGAAATTCTGGTGAAACATATGTCCATACAAATTGGTCACCAGAAGGTTTCTGATCTTCCCGAAGTCTATCCATGTGAACATTCTCTGCTTCTGGTGGGTTGAGATGACCCATTCGAAATCGCACAGCTGTAGCTGAATATATAGGAAAGCCAAACTGAAAAAACGCTGAACAAAGAAAAACAATTCAGTTTTACCACCAGTAACTTAAATAGAAGCTAGAACAAGATGACAAATGTACAAAGGATATTAAAAAAACCTTGGAATGGCTGTACACTGACTTCCGTAATAACACATAGCTTGGAAATCAATTTATAAGTTAACGTCTCAGACACCGCTGGATTACTTTCTCCTTTACTTGACCAATATGATGCCCTCTGGTCCACCCTGTCATTTGGTTCCAAAGTGTTCTGAATGCTTTCTTCTGGATAATTATCAGTACTGGATGCACTAATAGCTTCTGAAATGCAATCCCTTCTAATGAAAGACATGAGACCTCGAGCTAGAAGGCCATAAACTCTATGGTCTCTCTCCAGATTTTCCCACTCCTTAGAATTGTTAGATCCAATTTCTATATGATCCATGATGCCATTTCCTTCAACAACACGTATAATTCGTGATACTGCTGGAAATAGTCTTGCACACAGCTTCTTACAGAAACCATATTCAATCACTGGAACAAATTTCAGAGATAATATCAAAATCATTTAGTCTGTTAGACTTAAATTCATGGGTTTGCTACTTGGATTGTTCAGAAAATAACTCTAAATTACCCAGGAATATTAGATATGCCAATACAATTTGGAGCTCAAAAGAACCCCACAAGTTTGTCTCTTCACCCTTCATTTATATAAGAAATTTCAGCCCAGAACTCCTAGTCATTAAGCCCTGTCATGTGGAAATTTTTAAATTAAAAAAAAATTGCAACCTTGAATTGACAGCATTGCTTGGAAGCACACCAATTATGGAGTATAAGGATGATGTAGACAATGGGCTTAGTCACATAGATGTGATCAAGAGGATCCCCCATTGGGTGGACAGTTTGGAACTTTGCATAGGACAGAATATCCATCCACTTGCCAGAAATAGGCTAAGTCATGTAGGGAAACTTCCTATTTGATCTGATTAGGAAGCCTATGCATATATAAGGCCTCCACAAAATGTTGATCCTAGCTCCAGGGTATTGGGATGAGTAAAATAAATTACACAAAGTTCACAATCCAATGTATGAATGTACATTTATATGTGTCTATCTAGCTGAGTATACCCACCTGCTTATGCCACATGGACGAACCTATGGTCAGTCAGAATTATCCATTGAATAAGGGATGAGAGCGCATAGATTCAGTCCCTCAACCCATATTGGCCCAATACCCCACCTTCTATTGAAGCCTTCCCCCAAGTTAAAAGAACCACACATAGTTTCAACATTTTAATCTATACTACTTTTTTTTTAATTAATCTATACTACTTTAAAAAGCACGAATAGCCTCAAGAATATTTCTGGAATTTTTGTGGACAAAATTTACCCCTCTATATTTAAATTTATTGATAAAAATGAGGGCAAATAGGGAAATCGATTATTGGTATTAAATGAGTTGAAAAGAGGTAATTTTAAGATATTCAAACATTCAATTCCCTCTCATTAAATCCAACATTTAAGTTATTAACTTGCATTCATGTTCACTGAATCATATATTTAAGTCATTTTTGTTTCTTCTCATCATTAAGTTCAATTAATTAAATCGAAACTTAATAAACTATTAATTCCAATAACATAAAAGCTTATACTTTTAAAATCTACCTAGAAAAAATAGTGTTTTCATCTAGGTAGTGGTAAGAAATTAAACATTTTGGGTCAAATGAGTTAATCCATGTTGTCACGATTAAATAATAAAATTCAAAAATAGAAAAATAAAAAAAATAGAAAATAAAAAAATTGGGAACATTTTTAACATACATATTAAACAATAATAAGTATGATAAATAAGAAATGTTTTTATTAATGATGGAAATGGAATGCAAAATTTAAAACCAATTAGAAATAAAAACATTTTTCCTATTCTCTCTCATTAAATCCTATATTTAAGATATATTATTCTCATCATTAAATTCTTGTAATTAAATCCACAATATTAACTTTAATAGTATAAAAATAAATATTTTGAAAAATAATTTGAAAACAAAAACATTTTCTTTCCTTCCGGTGGTGGGCAAGCAATTCGACCATTTGGGGTCAAATGAATTAATAAATAATGTCATAATTAAATCATAAAAAATTAAAATAAATAAGTATGAAATGTGAGAAATATTTTTATTAATGGTGAAAATGGAATGCCAAATTTAAAATCTACCTAGAAATAAATGATGTCATAGACAAATGACATCATTTATATAATGGCTTGGATCAAATGATATCATAGGCAAACAAAAATCAAGTGTAATAAGTAAAAATTATTTATATAATGTAAATGAAATATATAGTTTAAAGGGAAAATTATAGTCAAAGCCGGTTGTACATTTAAAATTAGGTTGTAGGATGGCCCAGAAACCAACAAAATTCTGACAACCAGCTCTACACGTTTCAAATTATAAAAACCCCTGCTATGTCATCGGAGGCTTATGTTTCTATTGCCAACATGGGACTCTTAATCCATGTTGGACATAACAAAAAGCTTATTAAAACCCCCTCTGTCTCTAGATCTCCCTCCCTTCTCTCTCGCTCTCACAGTCATGTCTCGATCTGTCGTTCCCTCTGTCTCTCCCACTCTCTCAGCTTTGGTTTGTAGCCAAATCAAAACCTCTCTCTCTCCTTCTTCTTCTTTCTCAATCTCTATCGTCCTCCTTCAATCTTTCTCCCGCTCCCTCTCTCGTTCTTTTATTTTATTTTTCTTACAAACTTATATAATATTAATTAGACCGTATAAAAGAACTGAAGGGACCAACCACTTGTATAATCAAGTTGGTGTAAATTTCACAACCAAGAGTTTCTTGTGAATTTTTATCAAATTGGTGTAATGATTTTTGAACCATATCAAGTTGGTCTCATGTTCTTTTATACGGTCTGATTAATACCATATAAGTGTGTAAGAAAATTAAAAAAAAAAAAAGAAGAATGAGAAAGGGAACGAGAGAGAAATTAAGGGAGGAGAGATCGACCGAGAAAGAGAATGAGAGAGATTGAGGGAGAACGATAGGTAGAAAGAGAAAGAGAGAATAAGAGAAACCCAAAAACCATTTTTATTTATTTTCAAATCACATAGTCATTGAGCAGAGAGAGACGACATTGAGAGAGAGAGAGAGAGAGTAAAAACTTTTTCTTATTTTCCAATTACCCAACATTAAAGGGCAATTTCGGTATAACCTTTTTGTTATGTCCAACTTGAATTAAGAGTCCCATGTTGGCAATAGCCACATAAGCCTCTAATGACATGGTGGGGGTTTTTATAATTTGAAAATGTAAAGCCGGTTGTTGGAGTTTTTTTGGTTTCTAGACCAACCTGTAGCCTAATTTTAAATGTACAGCTGACTCTGACTATAATTTTCCCTAATTTAAAACTAATCCAAAAGCAAAGCTATTTTCTTCTCTAGATGATGGGCCAATGATCCAACTTTTCAAAGAAGTGCAATATATTATACAACTCTGTGTTTAATTTTACTAGTGAAATGTAATCTAGATGCAAGTCTATACCTGAGTCGCTTAAAAAAATGGGATTCAATTAGGACTATAACTCCTGTTAGAAGAGACAGGTATGGGCGCTATGAGGAAAACGTGGTCTGCTAAAGCCATAGAGTTGGAAATAATATGATTGAATTAGGACTGTACCTCCTTTTAGAAGAGATAGTTAGGGGTGCTATGAGTAAAACGTGGTTTACTAAAGCTATGGGCTTGGAAAGATTGTGATTTTGAGAAGGTGAAGAATGATATCAAGCTTATGCATGGGGACCCGACAGATTTACATTGATGTTTTCTCAGAGGGAGAGGGAGTGAAGGGAGTGCTTTAAAGACAGACTCAACAGAAAATTTTTGATAAGTTCCAAAATCATGGTCTTGATAAGTTCCAAAATCATGGTCGATTTGAAAAACACACACAGATAACTCTAATGAGATATTCAATGATCATTTACAAGGATTAGCAGTATAATGAAAATTGTACTTTAGACGTGTACATTAATCATCAATTAGCTGAAACGAGGCATCTTCTTACATTTACCCAATGAGAGTGGCTAAGAAAGGGGGCAAGTTTAAAGCATTTCAGCTTACCAAATTGACGCCAGGACCGTGAAACAGCGCTAACACGGACAAGATCAGCTGGATCTTCCAAAAACTTGAGAATCGTACTTGAGACATCCCGTCCAAGCCACGAAATGAAATCGTAACAATTCTCCATTCGAAGGAAGCTAATGAAAATTAACTGAAAAAAAAAAGTGGCATTGGTGAGCAGGAGCAGGTCAGAAACCAAAGAAAATAGAACTAACAAACAAAAATCCAACAATATTAGAGGATGAACCCACGTAAAGAGAAGAACGTCTTGTTAACCTGGTAAAACTCATATATTTTTGTATATTGCGTCAAAAACCAACATGATCAACAATTCATTTCAAACAGATATACAAACACATAGAAACCCCAATTTGAAAACCCCAAAATTCTGGAACAATAAGTCCGCTTTCTTATAATCAGATTCCATAATTTGACTTCACTTTCAGATATTTATAACAACATGTCATTGGAAAACGGATAAGGAGATAAGAATCCAAATTTAATTGTTTTTAAAAGGATCAATTTTTCTTAATTAGATTCATTCGGTCAATTAAAGAATTGTGTTGATGTAGCAATTGGATTGAACTAGATAGAAAAAGGGAAAAAAACCATTAAACTACATATAAAAAAAGAAGAAAATGTATGTGACAGATAAATGACATAACAAGAAAAGCATTATTTAACGGCGAAGAAACGAACATACCCTCGTCCGAGAATCATGAGTAGATCTGAAGCACTGAAATGAAGCAACCGTCGAATGAAAAGCCCTAAGAGAGAGAGAGAGACAGAAATAAATACCCAGGGAGGGGATACAAGAAAGAGAAGACGATGTGGATTATCGAGAATCGTTGTAGCAGCGTTTCTCCCGCTAGCGAGTACCGACACAGTTTACGCCTGACGGGGGAGAGAGGACGTGACGTGATGAAAGTTGAAACTGAAACTTGAAAACGACGAGAAAAACCGAAGAAAACGAATTTTTGTTATTTTATTATTATTCAGCATTCTGCAGTGTCACAATGATAATTACAATAAGCACTCAGCTGGGCAGGGAGTCGGAATTCGGAAACTCGGGATCTTCGTTGCTGGGCCCCATCTAACAATTTGGTGTGGGTTCTTCTTGAGCCAATTTGGGCCGTTGATCATAAGCTGTGTGGGCTGGGCCTTCCGCACTCCAACTCATTGATGAGAAATGAATGGTTCAGTTCCTATACTGTCTTTTTTAACCCCGCTTGGAATTCTTTATTTTTAAGTACTTTTTTGGGAAAAAGATTGAATAAGTGCTTTTTCCAGAAAATTAGTCCATTTTAAAGCACTTGCCATTTCCTACCCACTTTCTATTCGCTCTAAATTGGAGTCACACATTTCTATTCTAGATTGAGAGATGTGTGACTGCAATTCAGAGAGTGAGTAGGAAAAGTAAGCAGAAAATGTGGGCTCGTTTTGAAGAAGTTAAAAGTTTGGACATATTTTTAACTTTTTAAGCACTTTTTTTTGATAAATACTTGTGTTTTATGAACCACCTTGGCTTGCCACTTGATTTTCAAAATACTCGTTAGTTGTAAGTCAAATAATGGGATACATTAAATTACCAAAATATCCACATGAACTTTCCTTGTTTTATTTTCATCGCTCTTTATCTTAAACCCTAATTGACCCAAAAGTACTTCATATTTTTCTAAATAAAATTAGCTAAAATAACAATAATCATTTCATATACAAGTTTAATTAAATTATTGTTTTCATTTCACTTACATAAATGTCTCTCTTCATCTTAAAATATAAATAAAACTTCCCACTCCTTTCTTTCTTTAATAGATTTAGAAAAAACAAACAAAACCTTAAATTTAATTATAAACCTCTACAATTTCATTTGAGGATTTCAATATTTTTATTTAGAAAACTAATCAAATCATACTATCACATAAATAAGGAAAAGGACAATTTGAGGATTTTAAAAATTTAAATAGCTAAATAAATATCTTTTTCAAAATTAATTGACGAAGCCCTAACACAGGGGTATTTGTCACAAAGTAAAAAATTCAAGGGGCACATAAAAGTTTAAGGGGTAATTATTACCCCCAAATAGAAATATAGGAATAATTGTCACCTACCCATATCATATCAAAGGGGGAGTCTATGTAATTAAACCTAATAAATTTACCCGATCTGATCAAGTTTTCTCCTTAGATCTTCGGAGTGGGACCTGTTGAATGATTGGTCCTGATCTTCTTTTAAATTTATTAATAAATGGTTTAGTGCACGTGAGAAAAATTATCCATCCATGAAAATTTTGCAAATATTATTCATACATGTTGTTTAAGAGTCAAACCCTTCTAAAATAGGGTGGATTTGGTGAATCATGTAGGTCCTATGTATCAAGGCAAGCTGATAGATTGTATCTATATGAGTACACAAAACCCTTAAAATTAAAATTAAAAGATAGAGTTGTCGGTTGGTCGAGTCTGGTCGGGGAGAGGGTGGATCAGTCCCGAACCGATAATTAATTGGACTTATTAAATATATCTAGAATCAATCGATCATTTATTAATCAGGATTATTTGGTCACCCCGATTAGATCCAGGTACACTTCACATTTATAATAACCTATGATAATAACAATTTTGGAATTTTATTTTTGAAAAAGTAATTTTAATAAAAAATGTCAGTAAATAGTAAAGTATTTATACGTTATTTTTTTAACCCAATTTGTCTGCTATATGTTTTTAAAACAAGTGCTTTTAATTAAAATTATTTTATACACCGTCTTCAAAATTTACCCTTTTAAACATAAAATATAACAAAAATTATAAAAAAAATAAAAAATAATCAATTTTAGGTCTTAATTGATTTGGAATGGGAAAAATCTATGATGTAGAAATGATATGGTATAAGAAGAGTTTTGATTGATCAAAACCTACTCATGAATTTTGATAAATAACACTTGATTGTCTACCAGTTTATAATTCTAATTGACTGATCAAAAGTTTTTCAGATATTATATATTTTTTATATCATAGTTGTACTTTTGGTCACAAACAACTCAAATATTAATTGGGACGTAACCAAAATCGACTGCGCTCTCTCTCTCGGCAGAAGTAACAAATCAAAAGTGAGCACTAACATAAAAGTACTTATTAAAGTTCAACTCAAACATTAATCGGGACACAATCTACATAACCAAAACCGACTTACGGACAGGTCTCTCTCTCTCTATTGGCAGAAGTGACAAAACAAAAGTGAGCACTAACATAAAATTACTTATTAAAGTTAAAATGGAGATATACGAAAATTTACCAAAAAATTGGGTTTAGAATAAGTGAAATTTATTCTAACATAAAAGTACTTAAAAAAGTCTCTCTCTCTCTCGAGTTTCATCAACAGTGAAATAATAGTGATTAGGGTGCATGTCAATTGGATTGCATTTGATTCAATCCGATCCAATCATTTAATCTGTTTAAATTTGTTTTAATATAGATTAATTCTAATCCAAATCAAGGTCCATTGATACAATGATACCTACATTCTTATCTTCTATAATAGACAAGATATTGGCTCAATTCAATCCAATCCAATATAAATTTATTGTGGATGGACGAGATCCAATAAATACTTTGGACCATTAAATCTGGAATGGTCCAATTCAATATGGCTTGTTGGTCTGTCTAATCTGTCTAAATTGATTTTGGTTTAGACGAGATCCAATCCAAAATCGATCAATTAACACCCCTACTTTTGATAAAAAATTTGCTCTCGCATTTGCTGTGAGCCTTCAACCATGATGACAATGATTCCTTCATGATGGAAAGGAATTCAAAACATCACATGAATTGCTTTACAATTTCCATCACTAGCGTGTTGTAATGAATTCCTAAGAAAGTGTTAACCAAGGTCCCAAGTAATGGCATTAGATATGGTATTGGTAAGTTTGGATACTGATACGAGTATGGATAAATTTTGGAAACATGTGAATACAATATATGCTTGAATATATTACAGAAAATTGTTATAAATCTCACAAATGTATTATTAATACAAAATTTAAGGTTGAGTTAATCACAAATAAAATATAAATATATATGAAACGCATTTCTTAATGATACATATGAAGAAATACTATTTTATATTATATTTAAATACTATAATGTAAGAATATAATATATATTATATATCACTAAAATAAGAGAAGATGCTATGCATGTTTACAAGACTAATCATTTGCATAGATATCAAAGCAATTATCTATTTTTATAATATAAAAATGAGTTTCCGTGGCAAGGTACATGTCACTATCACCGCTACACCTCTTGTTTTTATTTTATTTTTGACTTTTTTTTAATTTTATAAACATGAGAAGTATTGGGCCCACATTTCTAAACTTTTAAATTTTATCGAATCATTTTGTATCTATATATGCATTCATGCATGATATATGTTTGCAAGTTGGTATAACACCAACCTAATTCCTTTCGTCTTTCATTGCCCTTCAATATGATTACTTAAAAAATGCTCTCTAATAAATTTTTTAAGGGGATTTTGAGAGAGGAGAAAGTTAGTCAATGAGATTTTGATTTTTATTGATTAAAAATTATATTTTATTTTTTTAAATTTATGTGGGGATCAGGAAAAATTTATTTTCTTAGGTATCACTCATTTGAGTAAGTGAAAAGTGATACCCATCTCCTAGGTGGGTAAATAACTTTCTCACCTTGGGGAAAAGTTGCCAACACTTGAAAGGGGCAAAAATGCCATTTGCAATAATGGATTTTTATGGATAAAATGTTTATTGCCTTATTTACATGAGAAATAAAATAACATGGATAAATGCAATTACCTAGTTAAATCTTTTTTATAAAACAATTACCTTGGTAAATGCATTTACTCAGATAAATAATTTACCGAAATAATCCAAAATGTAAGTCCAAATAATCCAAATGGTATTCATCCCTTACTTTATGATGCGGATTGATGCCATGTTTCTTATCTGGTTGCATTGTAGAAGTGCCCCCCCGCCCCCGGCCCCAATCCCCCAATCGGCATTGCCTTAATTGAGATTTGGTCTGATTTGTTCTGTTGTAGAATGATTATTTGGATTTTCAGTATCTCAAAGAAATTAAGATTTATTATTTCATGGTTTCCAATAATTTTACAATTGCGTTGTGTGTCAGTTGGTACATTAGCCGGTTCATTTCAGTATAGATAGGATTTTGAATCTCGCTACCACCAAATGTGGGGAGGGGAGCTGAGTGTGGTGTTGAATAATAATAATAATAATTTTGGAATTAAGCTACCCATAAATTTAATTGCCTAATCTCCTCTTATTATGTATCCTGATTTAAAACAGGGGCCATTTTTTTGTATGATGATAAAATTTTAGATTTACAAGTGTGAGAAGCTGGTTCGAATCTCAAAGTGACCACTGTGTGCCAAATAAATTAAAAAAAAAAAGCCAATGGTAGGTCTATATCGAATCCACCCGTCCCATGGCACTATATATTTAGGGTTCCATTGTTCTTATATAGCCGAGACCAATATTGAGGTGGCCTTTGATATATATATATATATATATATATATATTAAAACTAGTCCTGCCATGTCAGCATATTTCTCCTTTAAGAGAAGATATTTATCTATTTTCTCTTTTTTTTTGAATTTTTTATTTTTTTCATATCATTTTTATGCACTTTACCAATAACCTAAATAATCTATTCTCCTAAAATTACTCCTAAACTACCTCTTCCACTTTTTCTAAAATTATCTCCAATTCCTATTTATCTTCTAAATTATCTCTAATTCCTATTTATCTCCAAAATTATCTCTAATTTAGCAGAGAGTTTCTCTTCTAAATTATCTCTAATTCCTATTTATCTACAAAATTATCTCTAAATTAGTAGAGAGTTTCTCTCCTAAATTATCTCTAATTCCTATTTATCCCCTCCCATACTTTTTATCTATATCTATCAAAAGAAAGTTTGGATAAAAAAAA